TTTTTGTACCAGCTGTAAATTCCCTCATCCAGACAGTTTGTTTAAGTCTAGGTCTCTTATTAATTCATCTAACTTCTCAAGCATTTATTTTCTTCGCTTCTCACATTTTAGAGAGAGAGAGAGAGAGAGAGAGACCACATGGACTTCATATATATATATATATATATATATATATATATATATATATATATATATATATATATATATATATATATATATATATATATATTATTTATGTTTAGCGTCTCATACTTTAATAATTTTCTACATAATCTACCCTTAACCTAACCTAACCTAACCTAACCTAACCTAAAAAGTTGTGTTCGTTTAATCCTAAGTAATTATCTATGGTCAACCTCTCTCTCTCTCTCTCTCTCAGACCAAGCTAGTAGTAGCCCCCAACACCTCTCCTAGTAGTTAGTATCGAGTGACCAACAAACAAACGACCATTTGAGCCTCCTAGTGTCCTCGTCTCACGCACGCCATCTGTCTTATCTGTCCTTCTGTCTATCTCTTATCTTATCTCTTATCTAGCGTATATTTAACGGACCTTAAGGGATATTATTGTCCGTTATATCGAGGGTCGTTAGATACGCAACCTTCATATAACGGACTATAAGGGATAATATAGTGCGTTATATCGAGGTCCATTAGATACGCAACCTCTATACTAGTAATTTTCCTTATTTTATGGTTAAATTCTCCTAACTATAGTGTTATGGTAGGAGTTCCCTCGGGAGTCTAGACAGTTATAAACACCTGAACAAGTATGACATTCACTGTGTTAACATACCTGACTTTGAAATTATATAAGTTAGTATTTTTGTTATCTCTCACACACCTGTAATCAGTCTATTTCTTTTATACAGGTGAGGTGTCTATATTTTTAGGGTGAAATCAATACTTAAAGAACCGCTAGAGTATTTTTTATTATATATGTATTAAGTTATGTACAAAAAGTAGTTAAGTGTGTCTTTTACATAGATACACACACACACACACACACACACACACACACACACACACACACACACCTTTCACTCCATTCTGGACAAAAGTTTCTCAACCTGTTCGACTCGTCTTACTGGGCACTTCATCAAGGCTTTAGTTTTCATCCCTAAATCTCGTCCACCTCGTCACCGCGTCAAGACTCCTCCTCCTCCTCCTCCTCCTCCTCCATCCACAAAGTTACAGTCCGGTATCGTGTCCGGTAATGTCGCTTTTCTTCAGGATAGTATTTTAGATATTCCTGATAAAGACCTCGATAAATATCTACACACATGATAAAATACCCCACTCTCCCCCCTCCCCCATCACCTGTATCTGGGTACACCTGTCGTAGCCTGTCTTTTCCCCCTCCTCCCTCTCCTCCTCCAGGATACTTTTGATGTATACCTCTCGAAACCCGTCTCTCTCTCTAGTGTCCGGCACGAAAACACGAGCGTGTGGGAGGAACACGCGAAGGTATACTCTCAACGCCACACAACGGGAGGACATCGGTGTTTCTGTCTCCGCTTCGTCCCTCCTTCAGCGCCTCGTTTAGTGCCTCTCCTGCCCCGGCTGAGGAACACATGCGTTTATTGTAGAGACGCTGACGGTGCATAGAGCGAGGTACAGGTTCAGCAGGGATGGACTTCGACAGGTATGCGAGATCTATAGGAGTACCTGCAGGATGAGAATAGATTTCGAACAGGTGTGTTTTGAGTACTTTTACGAGGACAGGTTTCGACATGTACGTTAATTAAGAGTACATGTACAAGGACTCAGCCCCACTATCTGGTCGAGGCGTAATATTGTAACACTGACACCAGGTAAACGTTATCGAGAAAGATTTGCTTTGAGAGAACAGACGGAGAGGACAGAGACGAACAGACAGACAGACAGAAACCAGGCAATAGACAGACAGACAGACAGATAGACAGACACCACCACCTCTTAAGACGTGACCTCAATCAACTCCTCCTATTACCTCAACGTAACAACAACAAACCCAGAGCGACTCGTGTATATTGTCAAGGATTACTTCCGACCGCGTGGTATATATTTGTCCGTGTCTGTCTGTGTCTGTCTGTGTCTGTCTGTGTCTATGGCGAATTGTAATCTGTCATTGGGTTTTGTACTCCGTGGTGATACTGTGAAGGTAATGAGACAGATTGAAAGGTGAGATGGATGATTTTTTTTATACATGACATCTTCACTACGGGGGCTCTCGTCTCTTCTCTATGACTCGCTACGAATGACACTTCCGCAGTGGGGAGAATATATACCTCGATTGTATCCATCTCATTTATTTACTATGCTTGGGAGAGTTACCAATAACACATCCGACCCTAGATGGCATCGAACCCGAGACACATTACTGAGAGGCACTCCAACTATAATGCCATATAACGAGTCTAATATATGTGTTAGACCTTATATATATATAAAAGGATATTAGACTATATTATTAGCCTTCATCTGGATATAGAAGAATTAATTGATATATTATTGATTTTATTACCATACCTGAATATATTAGAGTTAAATGGATGACTGGGGTTATTGTCTTAATTAATAACATGTAAATTAACACACACACACACACACACACACAAACACACACACACACACACACACACACACACACACACACACACCATAACATTCAGAAAGTTAATACGAATTAGGTAGGATATTTTTTGTACGTGTTTTCTATCTAATTAGTGGCCTCGTGTGTCATAATTTAGGTGAGATAAAATTGACCAAGTTTAATAATGTGAGGTTTTTGTCTCATTATATACGATCATGGGAAACAAAAGCTTGAATAAAAGTCTGAACAAAAGTCTAAATAAAAGCTTAAACAAAAAACCTGAACAAAATATTATACTTTATTTTTACCAACTTTAGGGAAAATGTTTTATTCTCATTATATTTGTTAATTAATTATATTATATCTGTTGTTATGATGTTGAATTCTGGGAGTCTTTTTTTTTCCTTCAAATTTTACTTTTTATTTATTTATTTATTTGTTTTTTAATTTGTGAGGAAATATTTTATTTTTATTGGTTACAAATTTGTCAATGGTTTTTATTTTTTTATTTTTTCTCTGATATTCTTATTATTAGTGTTTGTTTTTATAATACTCTGTCTGTCTGTCTGTCTGTCTGTCTGTCTGTGAGTTTCTCTGTCTCTTTCTCTCGTTATCACTTTCTTTTTCTCCCTTTTATTCTGTGCATATAAATGTGTCTCTCTCTCTCTCTTCTCTTTATCACTTTCTCTTCTCTCTTCCTGTCTCTCTGTCTGTCTGTCTGTCTGCCTGTCTGTCTGTCTGTATATATTTCCCAATGTGTTCAAAGGAATGTCTAAGTCTTCCTTATAGTTCTCCCTCTATATTGACTGACTGACTGACTGACTGACTGACTGACTGACTGACTGACTGACTGACTGACAATGTGAATGAACTCTTTGCTCAGTCATGTTTCTATTCCACTTATTAATAATTTTACCCCTATTTAGTTATTTATTTATTTACCCTTTACTAATATTGCTATCTCTATCCATTCTATTTTCACTTATTGTATTTTAAATATACATATACATACACACAAACATATACATATAAATCTATACATATGTCAGTTATATTCAATTTTCTCTCTATTTACCCTTTACTCCCATTAATTCATTCTATATTCACGTATCTATTATTAACTATGTATTACTATGTATGGTAATATGTATATCTGTCACGCATACATGTATATAAAAGCCTCACCGAATTATAAATATATACATGGTGTGTTGTTCATGTTTTTGGGGGGAACAAGTAAATAGTTTTACTCGTCAGTGTGTCATTGTTTAAGCCAAATAACTATACAGGAATATTTATTAAACAAAAAGTATGATTAGCTTTTATGATTTTGACTCTGTTGTGTTGTCATGAATAGTACAGTGTGTGTGGGGGGGCGGGGGGGGGTGATGCAAGCTTTGAGTTATTATTATTATTATTGTTATTATTATTATTATTATTATTGTTGTTGTTGTCGTTGTTGTTGTTGTTGTTGTTTGGTATGAGTGAATTGTTTTCTGGAATTTGAAATGCGTCTCCTGGCCTCTACCTGTAACAATACCTGGTACACCTTGTTTTTGTTCTATGACCTTGTTCTTGTGTCTTGTTCTGCTACCTTGTTCTTGTTCTATGACCTTGTTCTTGTGTCTTGTTCTGCTACCTTGTTCTTGTTCCGCTACCTTGTTCTTGTTTTATAACCTTGTTCTTCTGTCTTGTTCTTGTTCTGTTACCTTGTTCTTGTTCTCACACCTTGTTCTTCTTGTTCCAGGGAAAATACATACCGTCACCATCTGCTGGAAACACAACACCTTCCTGCCGGCTATTATCATTACTATTAACCTTTTACTCTACACACCTGTAATTATCTGGCCATACCTACTAATTAAGGTCTTTTATTTCTGAGGGTTGGTGACTACGACCCTCGACTCTTAAAAAGAAAATCAAGAATATTTTCGAGTAATTCTTCCATATTTTACAACTTTTTAGGGAATCACTTTCAAGTTTTTCTTCTCATTCATCTTAGTTTCTGGCTTCTCCTCGGCTCTTTTATTCTCAGGTTTATCCATTAATATTTCTATCATTATTCCTTTATCTTTATTCAAATGACCAAAATGGTTTAAGTTGATCATATTCTGGATAATTGTTTTGTTTGTTTTCTCTGTTTTTTCTTAAAGGCTCTTAGAGACTTACATTCACTCAGGTGTTTTTTTTTTATATTTTGGTTTTAGTTCATGTGATTGTTTTTTTTTGTTCCATTTGTACGTGATTTAACATAGCATTTATTAACATGTTGAATATTTATCATGTTAATAGAAGGATAATATAGTGTTATATTTAGTGTTATCTTCCATAGAATGAATTATATGACATCATTAACTTAATATAAAAATTCTATTGTTAATATTTTCTCTTGTGGTGTTATGAGTGAGGGGTAAAGGAGTCCCGTATATAACTGTATTATATATTTACACATGTTCTCTACGTATACATTATACAATAATACACACAGGAGACATAAATATATCTAATCACGATGAAATATGACACGAATAAATAAGAGCATGAATCTTAGCAGCTAAGTATGAAGTGTTAGAGAGAGGTGGAGACTGTCACTATACTATACTGTACCGTCCACTGTCACTATACTGTACTGTACCGTCCACTGTCACTATACTGTACTGTACCGTCCACTGTCACTCTACTGTACCGTACCTCCACTGGCTTCTGTACCCGTCCGCCATTGGTCGCGGATCGTCAGGACGAACACCAACGTATACTATTTTATTTTACAGAGTTAATATCACACGGCTTTGGGAATAAGCTACACGTTGTCTTCCCGGCTATGTACACAGCGACGTTCACAAGCATACTAAAGCTCTAGTCAGTCAGACCCGTTAACCTCCAGGTGGTCCCCTCAGTAAGGACGTCACACCTGACTTTACGGACTCCTTCTTCTGCAGGTCAGCCCTCACCCTGCCACCTCTGCTGACAGGTGTGCTGACGTGGTGGGCGACGATGACCGAGTGGCAGCTAGTGGTCGTCTGGCGGGGGCGTGTGTCTCCGGACGCTGATGCTGATGGAGGACGGGAGAAAAGAGAGGGAGGGAAGCTGTGAGATGGCCTCCGTCTCCCGGCTGGTGAGGAGGTCCTGAGACATGAGCGGGGAGGACACTACTGAAGACGAGATGGTAGTGTGGGAGGTGGGCGAGGAGGTGGTGGTGGCGGCCACGTCTCCGGTCTCTAAGGTCTCGGTGACGTGTTCCTGTGTGATGAGCGGCGGGTCTGAGGGCTCAGACAGCGACAGAAGAGAAGCAATGGAGAAAGTTGAGGGTCGAGGACGCTTGGGTGGGGGTGTGGCAGGACTCTTGGGTGAGGAGGACGTGGGTGTAGGAGTAGGAGGCTCCTGCGAAGAAGAGGAGTCTGGGGCCGCTGTCTCTTCGAAGTCCCGCGTGTCCTCTGAGTCAGAACAGTCACCCACCACATCGATCTCGGGCTCCGGCTTGTGCTGGTTCTCGTACTCGCGTCGCAGCTGCTCGAGGGTCACGTGGACGCCCTTGAGAGCCAACTTACGTTGTTGACGCTCCAGCTGCTTCAGCATTTTCTTCTCCCGACGGAGTCGTTCCCGGCGCTCCAGTTCGTCAGGAGGGATGGGCTCCCCGGAGCAGGACTGTGGGTGGGCGTTGTGGGCGGGGCGCCCCGGTCCCTTCCTCGTCTGTTCCTTCTTACGCCATTTTGCTCGGCGGTTCTGGAACCACACCTGGAAGAGAGGAACACAAAGTCAGTTGCTGGAACACAGACCGTCCTGAGGGAGACCTTAACGTAGTTCTCACTCATACTACCTGTGGTTCGTCTTACCTGAGTGACGTCACCAGTCACTACAGGACCAAATGTTTGGTAACACACACACACAAACACACACACACACACACACACACACACACACACACACACACACACACACAGTAAAAAAAATTATCCCATTAACTAATTTCCAATTTCCCAATTTTCATTAATCTTCAGTAATTTATTATAACACAAGAAGCTAGGAACTACCCTCAGTACAGTACACACACACGTCAAACCTCAACGAAGGTAATTCATAAACATTTACCCCCTTCCCCCCTCCCCCGTGTAATCTACTGAGATGTAAGAAAGATGTCATGTGTGTCGCAGCCTGACAATCAGTGCCCACCTGTCATTACCTGTCACACCCCGTCACCACTGCAGCTATCAGTCACAGTCATGCACTTTTAAGTCCGCGCGCGGCTTAATCGCGGCCTGGTCTACTGTAGCCGACGGCCGGAGTCGCGCCGTCAATATCACACGCCGTAATATCGAGCGTCAATTCAATTTGTGTCACCTTAACCGACGAATGCGGACCGCGTGCGGTAATGGCGGCTCCGTCTACCTTGATAATAGATATCAGCCCCTCGTCCTGTACACCATCACGAGCTATTCCCGCCCTTATACACCCACAGATAGAGCCGCTAGTACCATGCTCCTCCTATTACTGGAGTCCCAGGGCGTGGTAAGCCATTCCCGACTCTACGTCACCCGGACACAGAGGCGACAAAGGGTGTAATTGAGGGTACCTGAGCTGCCGCACGCTACGCCAGCATGCCGTGTATATCAAGTCGATTTATTAATATCCCCAAAACAAGCATTCCTGTATTCCCACGCGAGGCTCCGTTCCTTACCGCTTATTTCCTTTTGTAACTGGATATGACGATAAGAAAACACCAAAATCAAAAGGGGATTTATTTCACCCCTTTACTAAAACACTGAAGGGAAGAAAAATATATAAAGTTTGGTGTCCGAGAACAAGAGAGACGTTATATTTGATAAAACGGGAAGAAAAAACACAGAGCAAACGGCAAATTAAGTAATTTTCTGAATCGAAGACAGGAGGAAGGGGGAAGGAGGAAGGGAGAGAGGGGGAGGGGAGGAAGGGGGAAGAGAGGGGAGGAGGAAGGGTGTGGAGGGGAAGGGGAGGGAGGGATGTGGAGGGGGAAGGGTAATGGGGTAGGTGTGAGAGTATACTGTGACGTTAAAATGTATGAAAGAGATCTAAGAAAGGTTCAACAATCACCCCGTATAAAATGAACCTGTGAACCCCTGAACCCCTGAACCCGCGAGACCCTGAACCCCTGAACCCGTGAACCTTTGAACCCCTTTTGTGAACTTTTTGGGGGATATGTCCAGGAATAAGAAGATTAATTATGAAATATATTTAAAATAAAGAGGAAAAACGAAAGAGTAAAGAGAAAAGAGTTTATAAGTGAGATTTAGATAAAGAGGAGAGGTAGAGGAGGAAGCAATGTGAGGAAAAGGGAGAAGGAGAAAGAAGAAGGAGAGAGGAAGGAAGGGAGATAGAAAAGGAGAGAGAGAGAGAGAGAGAGAGAGAGAGAGAGAGAGAGAGAGAGAGAGAGAGAGAGAGAGAGAGAGAGAGAGAGAGAGAGAGAGAGAGAGAGAGAGAGAGAGAGAGAGATAAGACAGGTGATATTTATCGACATCAGTAACACCTTAACCAAATCCTCCTTATCCACTCATCAATCTGGAAAGGCTAATATTTATTCTCTGTGGTCAGGTGGTGATCCTTTGGCTGATACTTGAAGCATTTGCGTGAGTATTGTGTAGACGAGGAGGGAAAAAAACTTGTTGGCGAACGAGTGGTGAGACACGCGACCAAGGGAGGGAAGGAGGGAGGGTAGAGAGGTGGGTGAGAGGGAGTAGTTTAGAGGGAGAGGAGGTGAGAGGGTGGATGGGGAAGGGAGGGAGGGTAGGCGTGGAGACAAGGGGGGAGGTACATAGAAAGGATAGGGTAAAGTGAGTGGGGTGGAAATGTAGGAGGAGGAAGGAGAGAGGGAGGGAGAGGAGGGAGAGAGGTGGCAGTGGAAGAGGGGGAAGTGATTGACTAGGATACAACCACTACCTCGACGGCCGATAAGCCTTCCTTCTCCTCCCTCTCCCTCCCTCCCTCCCTCCCTCCCCTTTATTCCTCCGCCGCACAAATTACTGAGGCAAGGTTTACAATTGATAAACGAAGGGGGGAGAATAACGAGGGGGGGGGGGAAGAACACATAAAATAATTCTTTGGCAGGTACTCAGGGGGCAGTTTCTCTCACCTGTCCTGTACTCTTGACGATACAGAACCATGAAGTTATTGTATCTGTACCTGATTTGAGTACAAACCGTGAGTACAGGCCGTTAACTCGACAGTAACCTGACTGTTTATAAATAACTGTAACCTCACCTCTGTATCATACATATAACAGATAATAATACCAGTTACTGAAATATACAGGTAGGTAATTAATCAACAACATTCACCTGGTAAAGAACAATATTACCAAGATTTTTACATACATAATCGAAGCATATTTCTACAACCTCCTGAAATAGACTAATCAATTAACAACCCGGATATACAGTACACAACATAAACCTGATCTATTTCGAGAGGGACAGTGAAGTGAAATGGATAATAAAAGAAGAAAAAAAAGGTAGAAAAATATGAAGATGTCAAGAAAGTGGAATCAAGATATAGTGAATAAAAAGGTTGATGATCCGACCAACACCTTGAATTATTAATACAGGTGGCAGGAGAGACATTGTTGCCTGAGACCCCGTCATAACCTGGGACATATGTGACGAAAAACCCGTGTGTGTGTGTGTGTGTGAATTGATATTGAGGATGATGGTGTGGATGGTGTGTAATGGTGTGTGTGTGTGTGTGTGTGTGTGTGTGTGTGTGTGTGTGTGTGTGGTGGGAATTGATATTGAGGCATGATGGTGTGTAATGGTGTGTGTGTGTGTGTGTGTGTGTGTGTGTGTGTGTGTGTGTGTGTGTGTGTGTGTGTATGTGTGTGTGTGTGTGTGTGTGTGTGAATTGGATATTGAGGTGATGATGGTGGTGTGTGTATGGTGTGTGTGTGTGTGTGTGTGTGTGTGTGTGTGTGTGTGTGTGTGTGTGTGTGTACGGTGTGTGTGTGTGTGTGTGTGTGTGTGTGTGTGTGTGTGTATGGTGTGTGTGTGTGTGTGTGTGTGTGTAATGGTGTGTGTGTGTGTGTGTGTGTGTGTGTGTGAACTGATATTGAGTAAGATGATGGTGTGTGTGGCATTGCAGGGTGGTAGGTGTGTTGTGTGTGTGTGTGTGTGTGTGTATGCTGTTTAAAGTTTTCAATTCTCTTTCAATATAATTTTTTACTTTACACCAGAAAACAAAAACAAACAACAAACAACCAAACAAACAAACAAACAAACAAACAAAGGCAATCTCAATACTCTTACTAATCTTCAAGACATATCTTCACTACATACAAACCTAATCCAGATCCAAGGATGTAAGATTATCAATTAAGTATAAATATTAAAAAAAAAACCAGTCGGGATTACAGCATGATAGCGATACAGGATACAGTTATTTTACGTATTATTACAGGTGTGTTTACTGATTACAGGTGGCAGGTGTTAGGCCACAGCTTGGGTTTATTTTATGCTATTATTTATTTTTTTTTGGGGGGGAGGGGTGGGGTGAGGGGTTGAGAGGGGAGAAGGTGAGGGAGAGGGTGAGGGAGAGGGATAAGGGAGAGGGATGAGGGAGAGGGGTGAGGGTGGATAATTTATTGTTGATTTCTATTGAGTTACGTACCTAAATGATTTATTTTTTATTGTTATTTAATGTTTTGATTTATAAGCCTACTCAAGAGGTTAAATCACCATACTTAAGGGGTTAAATCACCATACTTAAGGGGTTAAATCACTATACTTAAGGGGTTAAATCACCACACTTGAAGTTAAATCACCATACTCAAGGGGTTAAAGCACCATAATTAAAGGGTTAAATCATCGTCTTCAAAGGGTTAAATCATCGTCCTCAAAGGGTTAAATCATTGTCCTCAAAGGGTTAAATCATCGTCCTCAAAGGGTTAAATCATCGTCTGTTTGGATGTCAAGAAGTATAAAATAATACGAATCGAACAAAAATGATAATGGTGATAATAAAATAATAATAATAATAATATTAATAATAATAATAATAATAATAACAATAACAATAATAATAATAACAATAATAGCCCTATGGTGATTTAACCCCGCGAGTACAATGACTTATTCCCCTGAGTACACTATTATTGCACTCAAGACACAAACAGACATAAAAAAACTGACAGACAGACAGATAGACAGACAGATAGACAGAAAGACAGACAGAAAGACAGACAGACAGACAGACAGACAGACAGACAGACAGACACACTCAAGTCGCCATCATGGTCTCAGGTCACGAGACTATGACACAAATTGAATTAGTTTCGAAATTGCTGGGAACGTCTGTCTTGACTGGACGTAAACCACGACCAAACTACGGCGTAAACCACGACCAAACTACGGCGTAAACCACGACCAAATCACCTGCGTAAGCTACAAAAAAATCACACGAATCACAAACTACAGGATAAACCACGACCAATCACTGCGTAAACCACGACTAAATCATCACTTAAACCACGACAAAAACACATAAACCACATAAACCACGTATAAACCAGTACCTAAACCACGCATAAGATTATACGTAAACCACGAAGAAATCACCACCTTAACCACGACCAAACCACTACCTAAACCACAAAGAAACCACCATTTAAACAACGTATAAACCACGGCATCCGACATTTACAACTCGCCTCTTTTGTCATTAATTTGTTGTCGTAAATTGCGGTAAAGTTGTTGTTGTGGCTTATGGTAAATTAT